AATTTATATGATTTAGTTATCTTAATGTTGAAGTTAAAAACTACAATTCTTAAACCTTGTCCTCACAATCTTTCATAATAATTATTATTATTATTTCATACTAAACTCTTTTACAGTGTAGCAAAGTGCTTACTGAATATCTTTTTGGATAAAGTTGTTAGAAGAAATGAAAGAATATATAAAAAGAATCCAAGTGAACAGGCAAAGGAAAGACATCTGAATTTATGTGTGATGTTGTGAACAACAAAATGGATGGTAATAAACAGAATTAAAAAGAGAATATACCGTGACAAAATAAATTGATTAATAAGAGAGTAGGGATACTGAAACCTAAAAGAAAATTTGGAGAGTTTGGGTCAAAAGAACAACCATACTTTTATTGAAGAATCAATATATTAAAAGCTGATAATTTTTAAAAATGCATTCAAATGCATATGTTTCAATTTTAATCTCACAGTCTCATGCACTAAGAATATATCCAGATAAACATGAGTATGCAGTTTTTGCTTTTGTATGCTGACTTCATTTTCTTCAGATACATACTTGGGAGTGAAAGAGCTGGATCATTTTTAGTTAAATTACTTTTTTTGTTTTTAGGTTTGTTGAGTTCTTTATATATTGTGGATATTAATCCTATATCAGATGAATAGGCAAGTGGCAAAGGTTTTTACCATTTTGTAGGCTGTCATTTTACTCTTTTGACTGTTTACTGTGTAGAAATTTTGAATGTGATATAATCCAATTTGTCAATTCTTGCTTTGAATATTGCTCCATTGCTTATATCCTAAACTGTTTCCCCTATATTTTTCAAATATATAGTTGTTTCAGAATTTCACTCTTAAAATAAGATCTTTAATCCATTTTAGCCAATTTTTATACAGGCTGGTTGAGTCAGGCTTCAATCTTCTACACATAGATTTTCAGTTATTCCAAAGCCATTTCTTGAAGAAGTTGTAATTATATCATAGCTGTGATATCTAAATGATATAAATGTCTTACTTTTACCTTCATATAAAGACCCTTTTAATTGTGTGTTACTTTACATACAAAAGTAAGAAGATATTTTATAGATAAAAGTAAATATTTTTATAAAAACATCATTGCAAGTGTTTTGTAGAAAAATGTCACAAATTTACCAGTCCCCTTACCTTTAGAACCTATGCATATGTAAGCTTACATACCAAAAGAGACTATAGATGTGATGAAATACATAGACCTTGATATGGGGATATTATCTGAGGTTACCCTTTCAAACAAGTGATGATAATTTTAATGAATTAGTAGCTGCATAATTTTGAAAAGGGATGCGTGCAATAAAGTCCATTCTGATATGATACACTACAATAAGGTAAGACTATTGCCAATATCTATTCTTTAATGCCATCTACATTTAATGAAATATTCAATAAGTTCAATATACAAATTACTAATAAGATTTATAAAAATTTTATATTTCTTGAAGAAACAAATCTGAAGGCAAACTGATAAAATCTAAGAAATTTTTGGACTGAATATTCATAGATTAAAAAAAAAATCACAATTAAGAGTGGTCTCCATTTGGCAGACCATGACAGATTTTATAAGGCACAACAATTCAAGCAGGGTATTCACTATTTTGTTTATCAAATAAATATGTTATAAACCAGACAAACATTTATAAAAATGGCAGTTATTTAAAATATATATGCTATATAATGCAACTCCAATAAGAATTTCTAACAAATTAAAAAATACTGATAAAATATGGTTTTTGAGTCAGCTTTTGTTGCCACTGTGACTAAAAGTCCTGACAAGAACAGTTTTAGAGGAGGAAAATTTTATTTGAAATTCACAGTTTCAGAGGCCCATAGTCCATAGCTGGCCAACTACATTGCTCTGACTCCAAGTTGAGGCAGTACACTAGGGAAGAAGGGTGTGGTAGAGGAAAGTGGTTAAGGAAATGGCCACCAGGAAAACCAGAGATTATTTTATTCATCAGGAAAAAAACATAAACCCCAAAGGTATGCCCCCAGACACTCACCTCCTCTAGCCACACCTATCTGCCTAGAATTATCATCCAGTTAATCCCTATCAGTGGATTAACACACTGATTATGTTAAAGCTCCCCCAGCCCAATCATTTCACCTCTGAACTTTATTGCTTTGTCTTACACATGAACTTTTAGGGGACAACTCATATCTAAACCATAACAAATGGAAAAGTATATTTTCTACAGAAATATCATTGACAAGTTATTAGAGACATGTACAAATTAGAAATAAAATAAATAGAACCAGTGTTATTTTAAATAATCCTGTGAACAGTAAAAAAAAAGTTTTCTGCTTTAACTTAATAGTCAGATATACTTTTAGAGAAAATAATTTTACTTGAAAATAATATATAAATAAAAAATGAAATATCATGTTGCCTATTTTTTAAAAAATAATCCCTTGCAATCATTTTAGATTCTTTTTATTCTTAAAAAGGTCTGCAGTTGGACAATAAATGTTTTGGTTATCCTACCTCTAAGTCATGGAGCTCACTCTTTGTGTGACCCTGTATATTTGATATGATTTGTTCTAGATGTCTTTGTATATTTATACAACGTGCTGTATTTCTTCATGACAACTATATGGAAGTCTTTTAACCTGAGGATCTCAAAATATAAATGATTAACCTACATCTTAAACTAAACCTTTGCAATAAAAGATGTTTCAATTAAATATTGGTTGACATTAAATAACCTTAGAGTCCCATTTTTGTTACCATGGTAGAGTCTACCATTTTCATAAATACCTACAATACAGAGATCTTAGTAGTCATTAATCTGCCTGGGATTGTGGTTGGACAAAACGAATGGTTAGAATCTGAATTCTATCAGAAACTTCAAACAAAACTTTCACTTTTATCAATTTAACAAATTTGTCACCAAGGTTTATGTCTTTAAAGTTGATAACTTTTTATCTGATAATGGTGTTTGACATTAGAATATATTTTAATTAAAGGTTAAATATACACATCACTTATATGAGAGAACTTAATATTATTTTCATGACTAGTGTCTTGCCTTCTTCACTGTAGAAGGTGGGCAGAAAGAATCCTGAATAAAGGATCAGGAATTGTGAAGAAAATTGTTTTGAGAAAGGAGTGTTCAGAGTCAAAATTGTTCAAGCTCAAGATACCAACATGAAACAAGAAGAGACTATCTTATACAAGGAAAATATTGCCACCACTCATACCACACATTTTCAAATTTCCAAGTGCAATTTTTGAGCTTTGTGATGCAACTGTGTAACCGGATCCAAAGGACCTCACATTTGTGTGGATTAGAGAATTGGAAGAAGTTATTGAACTCCTCTGGGGAGGATCAGAATGAACAGTTCCTATAAAATTAGGTATTTGATAGGGTCCAAGACAAAATGTTCACATCATGGGCTCTGTTTCCTCCATGGTGCTTTCCTCTCATGTAAAAACGTCACATTGCTACTGACTTCTCAGGAACCATTACTTTGGTGATTTTTACAAAGTCAGAAATGTCTCCTCATTTCAGAATTTCTATTCTTTACCATTAAGAAAACTTCTTTCTTCTGGGCCCTATTTCCTTCAAGCCATCTCCTGATTGCTAAGTTGGTGGTCCATTAATTTGACAGATGAAGACGTCACAATGCTAACTCAAATTCATTTAAGCTTTTGGGCATCTAAACCAAGTTTATACAAATCCTATGGGGATTATAAAGAGGAGGTGTGAATCTAATTTTCCAATGGCTAAACTAACTGGATTGTTGGCTATTCCTTTATTCTTTTCCACATTAGGTAAGCAGCCTGGAGGGAATGGCTCACATTAATGTGTTTTCTAAAAGGGGCAACATATCCCACTGTGTCTTCTCCTAGAATTAATAAAAATAGAACACTATAGTATAGTAGTTTATATCTAGGAAACTAGGAGTCAAACTGAACTAAGGCTTGCTCACAAGTGTTCTTTATTAAATGCAGCAGTCTGTATATACTTATGATTAAATACTGGATATTTTTCAATTAATGATCACACACAGGTAAATCTTTTTAACTAAGAACAATAATTGTCAGTTTAAATAATTGTAGCCTATTTGGAGTGAAAAATATCCAGTAATAGATTTAAATAATATTTGGACTATAAGTGTGTGCATGTATATGTGTTAAAATACTAACATATGAAAGCATTTGTACATGTAGATTTCTAGTATGAAAAACCCATAAGCTTAACACATTTCTACAAATTCCAGTGTATTATCTCTTAGTCATAAATGTGCTTAATGAAGGCAAATTTAATTAAAGTAAATCATCATCACTGGCATGGCAATGTAATTATAATATCTGAATTAATTTATTAATTCATATTGCTTAAGTTAGGCATTAAGTAGAAATGTCTAGAGACATTTGTGTAAATCTTTTTTTTAAATAAATCATTTTTTTAAAATTACTCAGAATATTCTACCACAGTTATCCAGAATTGTAGATCTAAACTCTGTTTATATGAAGGTTTATTCTTTCCAGTTGGATTTATATGAAGACATAGAATGCCAAAGACAGAACTTTGATTTATGGGTAAGTAGTAAGCATGCTTTCCTATTTCCCTTTACATTTTATGTTGATGAAAGCCATAGAATTGGAATAACAACATTTAGTTCCACATCCAAAATTGTAATCAGAAAGCTAATGTCAAAAATAAAGAGAATTTATATTTTGATCTCAGATTTTTATGCAAATATTTAATTATTCTCTTATGTTCTTTTTCATGTCTTAAGAACATAGGAGTTTGTTACTAATGGGAAGAGTTAATAAGTCAAAAGAAATCATGAAACTGATGAAGAAAATAGTTAAGATTTTGTTATTAAGGAACACTTGAAAAAATGACTCAAATTATATAGTAATAAATGAAGTGTAGGTCATTTATTACATAATAAGACTTTTAGATGATAATCAACAGATGAAGTGTTTTGATTTAAAATCTAAAGTTTTTTTTTTTTTTTACTTTTGCACTTGTTTGATGTAATAGACATTGGTCAGTACTGAATTTTAAAATTGTACATTATTTAAGTATCTATTTTATAATCTTAAAACTTCTCCCAAAGGAAATAAAATATGGGCTATATCACTGGATGCTTCTTCATCTTGATGAATGCAGATTTTTCTGTATTATAAAACTGTTTTCATCAGTAGTAGTTTGCCTTATTATTTTTTCTTGACCAAATTATATTTCCTGTTTCACTGGAGAGAGGAACTGGGTACTATCCACAGGATTTTCCCATAATAACAAATGTTGTGTGGCTTCTAACAGATATATTAAGGTTTTAGTTTTCAGACCTACTGAAGTCAGAAGTACTTTAATTTATAAATTTCTTAATTTTTTTAAAGTTTCTATAAAACATGACTGATGAAAACAAAAATGTACTTCTTATGGAATGCCTTCACCACTAAATACTCTGTTATTAAGTATTTATGCTAGTTTTCTAAATAATTTCTGAGTGATTATGAAAATAGACATATGAGGGAACCACAAGGCAAAGACACATTTGGTTTTGAAGTGCATGATGAAATTTTAACAGATCAAATGTAATGTCATAAAAATAATTTGTATTCTTTCCAATTGAAGATTTCTTCCTCCTGCTATTGAAGCTCAATACTTGATTCTGAACAATTGCTTTTTGAAATATACATTTTTTATAACTTTATTTATTTATTTTTTAATGTGGTGCTGAGTATCAAACCCAGTGTCTCACTCATGCTAGGCAAGCACTATACCACTGAGCTACAGCCCCAGCCCCAACAATTATCTTTTTAAACCATGAAATTCTTAGGTGAGAAAGACAATATCTTAAAATTATTCCACTTGTTGTAAATGCTTCCTTATGATACAGGTGCAGTGAAGATCAGTAACGGATTCTTGTTCCCCAACGGGTTCTTGTTGAAGATGGTACACCTGAGAAAAATGGAGGCAAGCAAGTTTTATTTAAGAAAGAGACGGAGAAAGATTTTTCAGAAGAGAAGGGGTCCTCAAAGCCCATGGAAGGAGGTGTGACTTGCTTCCTTATAACCCTCAGAATGCCCCCCTTTAATCTTTGTCTTCTCTTTCTTCCTTGCATATGTGACTAGAAACAGGAGCACTGAGGATAAGTATTAGCAACCAATTGTTCTCTCTTTACTAACCATTCCTCATCCCATTGACCCCCATCATTCATTACCTACACTGACTGCCTGACTTTTACCCCTTTCTCAATTAAACAGTAACTCTTATAAAAGCTAACCTTGAGAAAAAGTACCATCACAGTTTTGAGACGAGTAGAAACACATTGCTTCGAGGAACAGGAAAAGAACAGACAATTCTAAGTGGGAAAACAAATGTTATGTGGAGACTTACCAGTGATAGTAGAGCAAGAATTCAAAGAAAACTGCAGTCTTAAACCCGGAACATAGTGGCTCCTGAAGAGGCCTAGTGAAAACAAACAGCACTTCTTGTTACCCTCCCAAGCAGGCAGCAAGTGATTTTTGAAAAGAGGTCAAGAACATGAAAAGAGATCTCTGCTAATACACAAAACGGAAGTCCTAATACTAACAGTGGAAAACACTCAGAAAAATCCTTGAGGAACAAACACCTGCTATAAACACAATGTAATAATAGAGAAATCAAAACAAGAAATATACTCAGAATAACCATACCCAAAATAAAGCAGCTCAATTATTGCATAGATTAAGGCCTTCACAGTAAATCCCTATTATAAAGAAAAACATGCCCATTTTAGGAATAAAAATTCATCAGATACTAATGCTTGCAAGTGACTATCTTTTAGCAAAATAAACTAATGGAAACAATTAAGACATATAAAATACCAGAACAGGATAAAGTGTCAAGAGTCAAAGGAATCAATAGAACCAGATACAAAATGATTCAGATGTTAGTAGTACCATAGAATGATATGTGTGGTAACAATGTGCTAGATACTGAAAATGATCAACAACATATATTATCAAGTAGATAATTTCAGCAGAGATGAAAATATAAGAATCTTTGAAATTTTCTATCTTTTAAACTAAAAATATTGAAGAAATAAAAAAGAGCTAATTAAATAATTTTAGTATCAGAGGCTGAGCTATGTTCCCTCTAAATCCATAGAATATGAATGGAAATAGGGTCTTTAAAGAGCGAACTAAGTTAAAATGAGGTCATCAGGGTGGGCTCTAATCTAATGGGATATTAGGGTAATCTAATAGGATATAGTGGAGGGCACAGACACACAGAAAGAAAAGAAAATGTGAAGACACAGAGAGAAGACAACAATCTAGCCAAGAGGACTTAGAAGACAATTATCTAATTTTTTTTTCACTTTTTATGTACTATTTAATACAGAATCAAAGCTTGGATAGAGGAATAAAGTGCAATCTTGTGCCTTAAAATACCTAGAAAAGCCAGGGGGAAAACAGTCTAAAGCAGATTTTTTTTTTGAGCTTATTATTTTATTTTATTTATTTATTTTTATTTGTTGCTCAAAACATTACAAAGCTCTTGACATATCATATTTCATACATTAGATTCAAGTGGGTTAAAATCTGTCTTCAGATTCCAGAATCAAATGTTACAAAATGTCAATTTTTCCTCCAATAAATCTATAGAATCAATATATTTTTATTACTATCCCACAAGACTTTTGAATAGACATTGAGATCATTCTAAACTTTATTCATAAAATGAGAGAATTAAAATATCCAAAATGATTATGAAAAAGAACAAAGTTAAAAGAATTGCTTTACTTGTTTTATACACACTAAAGCTATAGTAATAAGATTGTGCTGTATTTAGGAAAGGAAAGATGTTAAGTTTAACGGACCAAAAGAGACAATTCAAAAGCTGACCACCACACATATGGCAAATTGATTTTTGTAAAATTTGGCATAGTGCCTCAATGAAGAAGGAATAATCTTATACATATGGTGTTGGAAAATTCAATTTCCATATGCAGAAAAGTGAACCTAGGTCTATACTTCACTTTCTATACAAAAATAAATTTAAAATGATTCATAGATATAAATATAAAACTTAAATATTTAAAATTTCACATGGGAAATTTAAACTATGATAATAGTTGGGAAGATATTGCAAATAATCTGCAAAAATGTATAATAATAAAATAACAAATAAAATAATATTTAGCAAAACATCAATAATACATTAAATTTATGAGTTTTTAAAAAACAGACATACATAATTGGATAGGGAGAGAGAGCATGGGAGGAATAGCTGAACTCTAGAGAGGAGAGAGTTGTTGGAGGGGAGTGAGGGGCATGGGCTTATAATGATGGTGGAATGTGATGATCATTATTATCCAAAGTACATGTATAAAGATCTGAATTGGTGTGAATATACTTTGTGTACAACCAGAGATATGAAAATTTTTACTGTATATGTGTAATAAGAATTATAATGTATTCTACTGTAATATATAAATAAAAAATAGATATAAAACTAGGTATGTTCTACTCACCAAAAGAAATTAAGAAAAGAAAAGGACAGGTAAGAATCTTGGAAAAATATTTTCAAATTACACATCTGATAAAGGATTTATTTCTAAATTGCATACTGAATATTCAAAATAAGACAAGTAGCTTCCAAAAACAAATTTGGAATGATTTTGAGACACTTCACAAAAGAAGATATACTGATGGTTACTCAACAAATAAAATGATGTTGAATACTTTTAGTCATTAGAGACTTCCAAATTTATGTGACAAGGAGTTATCATTATACACTTATTAAAAGAGTTATCAATATACACTTATTAAAATGACTGATAGAATATTAAATCAAAGGTTGAATAAACTAAATTCTAACAAGGATGCATAACAACTGTAATTCTGAAATATTGCTAGTGAGAATGCACAACCTGCAAGCTCTTTCAAAAGTAATTTGATTGTCTCTTATAAAGTTAAACATCAATTTATCATATGACCAAGCAGTCCCACTCCTTGATATTTACCCAATGGAAATGAAAATTCATGTTCTTATAAAAGCATGTATAAGTTTATTGAGAGCAGTTTCATTTATAACTCCCCGTGTCTGGAAAAGACCTAATGCTTCACAACTAGAGAATGGAAAAACACATTCCTGGCAAATCTGTAGGTTGGAATTCTATGCAATAACAAAGAGGAATGAAGTACTGATGTACTTGACAGTATGGACTCAGGTCACAGACATAAAAAATGGGTAGTTTCTACTCATCAAAAGAAATTAAGAAAAGGAAAAGACAGGTAAGAATCATAGAAAAATATTTGTAAATTACACATCTGATAAAGGACTTAGTTCTAAATTGCATACTGAATATTCAAAATAAAACAAGTAGCTTCCAAAAACTCCATGCGTTCCATGCAGTTTAAAAAGCCAGATTCAAAGCCTATAGTTTATATAGTATCATTGCTCAGACAATTGTGTAAAAGTAAAATTATCAAGTCAGGAAATACCTCAGTGATTACAAAAGGTTTCACATTACCCTCAGCCTGACTGAATTGTAAACAGGGCCACAGCTTTCTTTCTGACTACAGGTTCCTGACTTACCCTTTTCTCACACCATTTTCTTTATAAAACTTTAGAAAGTTTGTGAAATCTTTCTCTACCCCTTTGAGAGGTAAATCTTTTACCTTTTGCTGGTTTTACAAACTATGGGAGCATAAGGATATAGGAACCAATTTTTTGAAATGTAGCTAACAAGAAGAATGGAGCTTCATTTTCTAGACTCTGTGGAAAGACAAAAGTCAACTGGAACATCAGTTAGCAAATACAGATGGCTCAATCATATTGACAAAAGCCATAGGCCAACTTCAGCCCTAATGTCCTCCAGTACTTTTCCACTAGCTCACTCCAGATTTGACAAATATTTCATCTTTTTGTTTTGGTAGAGTTGTGTTCAGCACAACCCAGAAGAGAACTCAAAAAGCATAATGAATTGCTACAACTAGAAGAATGCTAAGCATAAGCCCAAATAAGTGAGAGGAAGAGCACATTTAAAGTTTTAATATTCAAAAAGTACTATTTCACTTAGAAATATTATATTTTCTTTCTTAAACAAAACAGATCCCAAACATTTTTTTGAAGATGTAAGAATAAACTGAGATATAGTAATAGCATATTTCTTTGATCTACATTTGATCAGGTTGCAGGAGAAAAGACTAAAGACTCTTTCTTCTTCTATTTATTTTAACACATGTCCAGCATTTTAAATGTGAGGAATGTTTGTTTCATTTTAGCCAGTTTATTTAGCTTCACATATTTTCTACCATCTCCAAGTAACACCACCCAAGGGACAATGTTTTTTTGATACATGGGCCTTTGGTGGACATTTAACTTCTAAATCATAGCAGAAGTGCTTAATTTTGATAAACTCAATTTTTAAATTTTTGTTTGTGCTTTTTGTGTTTTCCAAGAAAACTGTGGCTAACTCACAACCATAAAGATTTTTCTCCAAATTTTAAAGAAGTGTAGAATTTTTTAATTTCATGTTCAGGTCTATAATGTATTTAATGTTAATTTTGTATGACATATAAAATATGAGTCAAGTTCACATTTTTACATATGGATGTCCATCTGTTTCAGTACCATTTACAGAAAAGATTATCCTTTCCCCATTGAGTTACATTGTTGTCTCTGTCAAAACTCTATTGACTGTATTCATATAGAACTATTTTGGATTTTCTATTCCCTTCCACTGATTTGTAAGTTTACCCCTTTTCACCAATCCCACACTATCTGCTCTATTGCAAATATAAATTCATTGTATGTTAGGGGAAAAAAGAAGCAATGGAAAAATGTTAGGTGAATGTCATTCCTAAAATGATTGGGAGAATCTTGTGTGCTTTCTATAATGCTAATGAATGTAAACAGAAGAGCACCTAAAAAAACCCCAGGAGTTTCTATGCATAATTATTCACACCAGTCATTTGAAATAAAATACACTTAACTATGCTGTATAATTCTATTAAAGAGACAGAACAAGATGGCCCAGTAAGAATACCTGTAAGCCAAAAGTAGCCAAACTTTAAGAACTATACAACTCACAGAGGACTGTGGCTTTATTTTTTATTCTACTTTAAGATATACATTTTTTTTCAAGTTTAAAATCCTTCTGAAACATGAAATACTTATAGTTATGTGGACATTTAATACATTAGTGTTGTGCTTTTATTTTGTATAATTAACGGATAAAGAACCATATATTTGATTTTCACAATTGAAGAAAGAGTATTTTTATCTAGACTATTTCTAAAATTTAATCATCAGTGATAAATGAAAATTTTTTTTCATTGTTATACTTACAGTCTTATGGGGGAAAATTGTAAGAAAACAATCTCTAAATATAACAATAATAAATTAAACATAATTGCACTAAGTGCCACTTATCAAAAATTTATTTCTACAGAAGGCGAAGTTATATTCTGGGTCCCAGT